AAAGAAACAACGAACCCGCGTACAATTTTATCTCGACATGAAACATTTTCCGCGCCTGCGAACCTATTTAAATTTTCCACATCTGACAGTATCTCAATATCAATAAAAATGCTGTGCACTACAACTAATTGAGAGACATGGATAAGTATAGAGTTTGTGAAAGGATAAACGAAAGTCGGAGAGAGAGAGTTAAACGATACAATGACACTTCAATAACGTTGTCTACACAGACAAGTAAAATTTTATCTCAATCCACGTACCAAATTTTCAGTTACCTCTGACAATATCGAAAAGGTTATTTCAGGAAACGCGACATAGAAGCATCAATGATTCTGTCGCATAACAAGGCCAATTAATTGCACAATCAAAATAAAATTAGTGTTCACAAAGCAACATAATTAATTGACAACATTCTTCTTGATATTGAATATAGAAATATTAAACTTATATTTATTCCCCCAAGATACTACTCGACGCTCAAAATGAGAATAACAGAACACCTTTGAAGTTTTGCTGCGTGCTGGTTTCCCACACAAAAATAATTAAATACCTACTGAAATGTCACGCAGAACTTCCGAGCTAATGCTTAAAAAATAGACAAGGTTCTCATCTTAATCTTTGTCACTGAAAATCACTTCAAACGGCCACAAAAAGTAGATTTACAAACAAAATGTAATTGTACTTATTTTCGCAAAATAATTTTTAACACACTCCGCTCGAGAAAGCTGAAGAAGACTTTAAATTTACTGGATTTGTAAACACACGTGACAAAATTTAAAAGTAATTACAAACCAAAACTAAAATTAAACCCAATCGTCCCCAATACTACCTAAATTAAATCTAATCAAAACAAATTTAATGTTAATCAAACAGCATAGAAGACAATAAAAAATGTTTTTCAAACAAGTACTTCGTTTTCTGGATTCACACGCTATTTATTTATTTATTTATGGGTTGTATTAAACTGAACAGTATTTAATTAAGTTTCTACATTATAATATTACCTAAAGTCAGTAAAATATTGTAAAAAGCTCAGTATATTTATAAAATTTGATGAGTTAAAATGGAATTTTTGAGCAGTAACAAAACTATTTGGCCAGTATTATAGTGGTCAGTAAAAATTAATAAAACGTCAGTATGGATTAGCTGATAATAAATCAGCAAATCTACAGTAAAAATCAATAAATGGCCAGTATGCGATAGGCGGTAATAGAAATGAAGTCGTGGTTACCACATACATGCTGATGCGACATATAAATTGGTGTGGCAAGGTTTCCCTGTATTATTATTGGGAACTACAGATCGAGACCGAATATTTCATATTTTTGGGCTAACGGTTTGCAGCAAAGAACAAACCGAAGAGTTTGTATTTTTGCAATAAAATCTGCCGACCAGGATATATTTCAAAAGTCAATTTGCCCAAAATACCTCGTTTGTGATGCCGCTAAAAGCATCCAGAATGCCTTCATAAATGTATTTGGATCGGATGTTACTATCATAATGTGTTGGGCACATATGAAAAAATGTGTCCAAAAGAAAGCCGAACAGGTTGTGCATCCGAAGGAGAAACGTAATGAAATATTAAAAGATATTGACTTATTGCAACTGAGCAATAGTAAGCATGTTTTTGAGAAGGCGTCTCATCAGTTTATTGCAAAATGGGAGGGCGAACAACAACAATTTATAGAATATTTCCAACACGAATGGTTAGACAGTAATCCAAACTGGTTTGAAGGCGTTTCAAAGTTGGTTCCGTCTACAAATAACGCCTTGGAATCTTTCAACAGAGTAATTAAAGATGAGAACACTTTGCGCGAGAGATTGCCTTTATCTCTGTTCGTAGTGGTTCTCAAGGAATACATAAATACCTGGTCTCTTCAGTACACTGCAAATGCAAAAACAGTACATGCAGTTCCTACGCTAAACTTAGGTTAGTGGACCAAAGCTTCTCAGTGGGTTTGTGAAAAAAAGAAGATTGTCTCACATCGTATATCCGAAGGCTATGTTTATTTCATTCCTGCTGGCCAAAGTAATGAAGTCACAGATCTAGATTTAGATCTAGAGGAAACTCGAAATGTGAGTTTTTCCACTTTTGAAGAATTTAAAACGGCCGCGTTCAACATTTGGACTGCTACTCTTCCGAATGATTCAAACAAATGGATTGAAGGCACTTGCAATTGCCCAGGATTTTTCAAAAAATTAATTTGTAATCATGTAGTGGGTGTTGCAATAAGGCTGAAATACACAACACCACCCGCTGAAGCCAAATCTGTCCCCATTGGAGCTAAAAGGCGACGTGGCCGACCATCCAAAGCAAAGCAGGCACTACTTGTACAATAGGGTAGGTATTTTGCACGTAATTAGTGTATATGGTTCAGGATAATTATTTTCAGATTATCACCACGATCTACTCGTACTTCATCATTACTTAACGGCATAGCGTTTTTCTCTATTACGTTGTATTTTTCTTAATATGTTTTTGTTTTGTGTTTACTTACATGAAATAAATATGAGCATTTATTAGTTAACAGAGGGTTTATTAATTTGTACTGGCCGATTATTATTTTTATACAACATTTCATATTTTACTGATCATTTATTTATTTAATTAACTATTTTTTCTCTTACTAACCGTTTATTAATTTCACCGACCATTTATTAATTCAACTGACTGTTTTTTAAAACCTTACTGCCCATTTATTATTTTCAATTACCATTTATTAATTTAACTGACTATTTTGTATCTTACTGCCCGTTTATTACTTTCGTCTACCATTTATTAAGTTAATAGGCAATTTTTAATCTTACTGACCGTTTATTATTTTCACCGACCAGATATTACAATAATGACCATTTGAAAAAAATAATGGAAAAGTGTACTGTTCATAAAATGGAAATACTGATCATTTAATTTGTACCGTTTATTTATTGTCCCTCTCTTGCTCTGGACCCTCAACAGACTTTCTCAAGTGTTAACCATATTGTGAGGAAATCAAACATATGCTGAAACGATTAACCTTGCTTACTCCAATAACTGGGTCCCTATGTAAATACAATAGGGAATAGATGATATAATCATCTTCGAATTTTTCAGGAACATGTGATATAAACTAACCTATAAATAATGAATGATATTGTAAACAACGTATGACAATATCCTTACTTAGATTAAGGCTAGCCAATCCCCATTCGCGTTAAGACGCTTAGATAAATCAATTTAAACAATGGTAAGGTTATGAGTTTGAATTTTCGAATTGAAATTAACATTTTTCGCAAAGATAAACCTGTCATTTGCACTACAAAGCAAAAGTGATCACTTCCGCAAACTAAATGGTACCAACTATGCAAAACATACTGAGCTCATTCAGCAGTTCACAAAGATTGGAGTACATTCAACGGAACGTTACAAAGGTCATAATGAATCACTCATTACTTACAAAATAAACGTAACGTGTTTGACACTATAGTACACGAAATATAATAGGTAATATTGTTAATGAGGTGTTGCATCGAAACGCGATGGATTGAATAGTTTATTATGAACGAAATGTAATTATAAACATCGCGACTACATCTATATCACGTTCAAGTAAATTGCGAAAATTAATGCGCTTTTACGATCATCTTCTATTAAATGTTTCGGAATCAGTGATGCTGTTTCATGAGTTGTAGCGCAAAATTGTTCTAAACTCTACTACGCATTGGACCCGCCAATTTAAACGATCACACTTTGTTAATGGAAAATTTAAAGCAAACACCCTTCGCCCGTTTAAAATTTATTATGCATGCATGTCTGACAACATCGTTATAATCAATTACCCGGTTTTTTAACCATATTCCCCGGAGTTCTATTATTACCCTCCTATTCAACCCGTTATGATTACGCAACCTTTCTAATTAAAGGGAATGTGGGTTAATCTCATCATTTTTTTAATGTTAGGCATGTTATCTCAAATTCTGTTGCCTAACATGGTTACATTTTAAAACGCAAAATAGATTATGTGCTTAAAATTAAACAACCGCCAAGCTGACGTCTTACAAGGTCCCGTTTTCAATGGACGCAATAATTGCCAGAGCGAGAAATTAAGTTTAGGATGATACGATGAGTAGTAGAGTGACTGATGAATTGGCGACACAAAAAGCGCCACTAAGCCGTGTCCAAAACTAGAGTACTAACGTGACTGAATTATTCATGTGCTTGCAACGTCGTGAAGTGGGAGCTCGTCAAGGATATAATCAGAAAAACTCAAGTCCACGTACTGTAGAAATTAAATTATTATGTTTGCTTGCAAGGCGCGTTTTTATGTTATACGCATCCTTAATCAACAGCAACCTATACATGTTCATCAACACGAAACACAAAATGATATACTTGAGATACATGAATTAAGATGGCGTATTAAAGATTAATCTTTGTCAAATTGCGAGAGGTTCGATATAGGATAGTTATAATGGGTAGATCTAGGTTTCAGAGAAAAAGCGCGAATAGTACATTTGCGTTAATTGCAGGTGAAGTTAGGGTTAACGTTAAATACTTCCATTCCGTAGAAGTAGAACAAAAATGTATTATTATGCATATTAAAAAAAATGTATTATTATGCATATTAAAACTGTGAGCAACCTGGGTACGTTCCGGCTTTTGCCCACAGCCTCGGGTAGCGTCGGGAAATAATTTGGGCGAGCAAAGAAAAGTAAAAGTGTTTGTCTAAATAGATTTTTAAAATAAAAAAAAGGTATAGGGTAAGTCGGGGGGAGATGGCCATAGTTTTATATCGTGCATGAAAATTTCACTAGAAACTGCAATAAAGAACCGCTCTTGCATGGATATACTTCCTAAAGTATCGGCAATCTACATCCTGAGGTAAAAAGACTTTATTTTAAAAAAATGATTAACATAAAAATCAAAAACGAAAACAATGCAATTGGCCATCTCTCCCCAACCTATCGGGTAAGATGGCCATACTACTAGGGGAAATATGGCCAGGGTACAAACGACAACGTAAGGTAAGTATTTATTGGTGCTAAAATGAAACATGAAATCATCATTAATTAATTCAAAAAATAAACAGTAAAAACCAGTAGGTAAGGAATAGTTTTGCCCTCTAGGGTTTTTCGCGGTATGCCGAATGTCATGGAAGCCTGTCTGACGGAGGAATTGTTCTGGTTCACAGCTTCGATAGCAAGTATCAAATCATTTTGGCTCCAATTGCCACGGCATCGAACGTGCTTCGGGGTATACGTTCTTGGCATCTACGAAGAACAAAAATAATGCAATTAACTACATGGCCACCACACCCATAGAAAACATGGCCATCTATCCCTTTTGCCTGGGAGAGATGGCCATAGCAGGTTTGCAGCGACATAACTACAGCACCAACCGGAACTATAGGTTAGGATCATCTCTAAAGTTTCTACTTCCACACAAAAAATACCTGCAGCATGAAACTAACATGTATCATACGCTATCATATAATGTTTTGTATGTGGTTGAAAAATATTCAAGCCAATGAAACAATCAAAGTTATTTTATACTTACATTGAACAATCGTGGTGCGTAATACACATGCTACACAGCAAACTGATGCCACTAGGATCTATATTACAGCACCAGCAACGCCATCGATCGTTAAACATTGGAATTATTTGAGTGGGCCATCTTCCCCATATGGCCATCTTCCCCCGACTTACCCTATACAAAATAAAATGATATAAAAGATTTCCGGAGTTTCCGGGGAGTACTGCCCTCTGCCGGTAGCTATCTGGCCCCAGCGTGTCAGCTGGTGTGCTGTCAATGTCGTTTTCGTGTCGGAGTCGGACTGTTAGTAGGTTAATTTCCACGTGCAGTGCTGTCTAGAATGTAACAAATTAATTGATGCGGGATTGAGGGCTGCGCCACCCGAACGAGGTAACCAACAGAACCTGCGGGGTGAGTGTTCGAACTGTAACAACTAACCTTTCACGTGACGGCTTTCAGCCCCTTATGGTTAACGTAGGCCGGAGCACTGTGCCCCAGGTTCAGGCAGGACGGGGCGACGGGAAGATACTACGGAGGTGTACTTCGTATAAAACCAGGAGTCACGCTCCGATTTCGTTTTGAAGACACGGACAGGTAGGAACGTATGGAGAGTAGCTGGTAATCTTGCGGAATACTTGTTGTAGTAACCCGTTCGCTAGGGAGTACACCTAGGAACTGGAATTACTCGGGGAATTGGGAACTGGTCAGAGTAATAAAGGTAACAGCTTGCACGTTTAATAAAGGGTTGAAAGATTGTTGTTTTAATGACACTATAAACACACTCACTCACCTCGAAGGCTACTTACGATTTACCCCCTAGGGCTAACGGCAACACACTCAACACAGGGAACGACAGGGGTGCAGGTTAACAAAGGTTTTACAGGTACTGGAACGACGGTTAAGGGTACAAATTATATAGGAATAAATCACAGGTAAATAAGGCTGGTTAATAGCAAAAGGCACTGGTAAAGGTAGAAGCAAAAGCAAAAGTTACTGGACTGGACGGACACAGGTATATATATATTTGAGCTCTGGTGGGGAAGACGATTAGGAGGGGCGAAATTAAGTAGAAATATCTGGGGGAAATCTCATTTACTGGTTTTGGGCAGATTATTTCCTTACCCTTAATTTCGTTTCCTCACA